AGAGGCCAACCTCTCCCTGGACAACCCTGAGGGGGTTCTTGCAAGGGCTCTGGTCCACGCGGTGAGTGCCCCCAGTGGTGTTTGTATGGGGCCAAGTCAGGGCATGGGTGCCTAGTGCTGCTCGGGCCTTGATACCTGCCTGTCACTACTTCCCCACCCCCATCTAGGTTGTGGAGCAGCTGCTGGTCAGCAGGCAGCCCCTGCTTATCTTCCTGGAAGAGCCCCCTGGGACCCAGGGCCCTTGGCTGTCAGCCCTGGGCCAGGCCTGGCTGGGACTGGTGGTCCAGGCGGTCCAGGCAGGCATTGTCCCAGATGCTATGCTAGTGCCAGTGGCCGTCACCTATGACCTGGTTCCAGATGCACGGGATACACACCATGTGAGACCCTCCTACCCCTTGGGACTCTACATGGATACCATCTCCAGAGAAGAGACACTGTATATTGTGCCCTGTGGCTGAGTGCCCCTCAGGGCTCGGGTCAGGGTGGTGCAAAAGAGTTCTCCCCCACAACCATCCTGTGGCACCTGCCAAGCTGATGCTGTCATCCTGTTTCATCCCCAAAAGACCCCACTAGGGAGGGATTTCTCCTGTTTCACTGATGAGAAAACAAGCTTAGAGAGGTCATGGTCAGGTACCATTTGCAAGATAAAGTTGAGCAGAGAGCAGTGCTCCAGGCGAGCCAGCTCCCTCAGCCTCTCCCTCCCCGCAGGCCACAGCCCCACTGGGGCTGTGGACAGTAGCTCTGGCTGTCCTGCGGAGCCTGCGAGGCTGGTGCTGCAGCCCCCGGACCAGCGTTCGTGTGCACCTGTCCCAGCCCTTCTCCCTGCAGGTATGGAGTCTTTGGGCAAATCTGGGAGGACCTGAGGTCTGTTCTGGGGCTCCTGGCAGCCCGGCCCTCACCACCACTGCAGGGATAGCCTCATCTACCTGTGAGCTGTGTGCAGGTTTCCTGGTGGGCAAGCAGGCAACCTGAGAGCTTTGTCCTGGACAGGAATACACTATCAATGCCAGAAGCTGTTGGGGCAGCAGGCAGACCCTGGAGCAGCTGCTGCAGCCCATTGTGCTGGGCCAAAGGTAGGGGCAGGGGTGGATGTGACCCCCCAGAGCACGGCAGGCGGTCTTTCAGCACAGAGCCATAGACATCACCAGCTTTAGCCTTCCCTCACCAGATATTCTGGGTCATCTAGAACAGTGCCGGGGACCCCTCCTTGCCTCTAATCTGATTGGGGAAATGGCAGAGGCTGAAAGGGGCTGGTGTTACAAGGCCAACTCTGCCCTAGGGCTAGGCTGGCCTGGGGAAACACTCTTCTGGGAAAGCTCTAGGCTTCCCCAAGACTGTCCGTAGGCTGGCTCCTCTCATCCTCCAATCGGTCTCTCTTCCAGTACTGTCATCCCAGACACTGAGAAGGAGCAGGAGTGGACCCCAGTAACTGGGCCCCTGCTGGCCCTCAAAGAAGAGGACCAGCTCCTGGTCAGGAGGCTGGGCCGTCACATCCGGAATGGTGAGGGAAATTAGGTCTGGGCCTTTGGGGACAGTCCTGAGCTGGTCCTCCTCTCTGGGTCAGTGGGGTGTCCGAGCCCTCCGTTCCAAATGGGTCTCTGCACCTGACCCTCCCTTCTGTGTGACCCACTTGCCATGTGTGAAGAGGAGTGTGGCAACCAGGGACAGCACAAGGGAGCCCTTAGTGAGTGCACACAGATGGCTGCCTGAGCCACAGAGGACAGCATGTACGAAGGACAGATGCCAGGGTCTAGGCCACCTACCCAAGGTCACCCTGGCTGGCCCTGCCTTCGCTCCCCATTTCACCTCTGAGCCTGATCTCCTGAGCTGTAAATGCGGTAACATTGACTGAGTGGAATAATGCACGAGAGGGACTTCACACTGTACCTGTCACAGAGGGGGTTCTTACAGAATGATCGTTAGGACTGTCTTCTCAGGTACCCCTCTGTGGCAGAGGCTGTGGGTTGATGGGTAGGCCTACGAGGCAGGAAAGGTCCCCAAACTCCCTGCTGTCTCAGCACATTTGACAAATGCCAGTTCTTCACTGGGAAGGGGTGGCCAAGGACCGGGCAGGCCTGCTCTCCCCTTCCCTTGGGCAGAGTTGCTGGGGAGGTGGGAGGGTTGCAGCCAGGGAAGCAGGGGACTGTCCTCGGCCCAAACACTGGGCAATGGAACTGGGCTGCTGGGCCCAGGCCCCTGAGCCACGTCCCTCCACCCCGGCTGCAGCCAGCGTGGCAAGCTCTGCGGTGATGAGCACAGCCATCATGGCGACGCTGCTGCTGTTTAAGCATCGGAAGGTAGGCAGTGCGGTGAGGGAAGGCGCGGCTGGGGAGTGGTATGGTCTTGCTGCTCAGCCCTGCCACTACCCACCCAGGGTGTGTTCCTGTCTAAGCTCCTGGGAGAGTTCGCTTGGCTGACAGAGGAAATACTGCTTCGTGGCTTTGACGTGGGCTTCTCAGGTCAGCTGCGTTGCCTGGTACGGCACACGCTGAAACTGATGCGGGCACAAGTGGCTCTGCTGCGCATTCGCCAGGGGGACCTGCTGGTGGTGCCTCGGCCCAGCCCAGGCCTCATTCACTTGGCACGCCTGAGCTCCGAGCTGCTGCCTGCCTTCTTGAGTGAGGCTGTGGGAGGTGAGTCCTGAGGGTCCAGGAGTGGGCTGGGTGTCTGATTAGGGGATGGCTTCCTTCCTCACACCCGGCCCCCTCCCCAGCCTGTGCAGTTCGGGCACTGCTGGCAGGCAGAGTGTCACCAGAGGGGCCCTGGGAGCTGCAGGGCATCGAGCTGCTGAGCCAGAAGGAGCTGTACCACCAGGTCCTGCTGCTGCTGCACTTGCTGCCACAGGACTTGCTACTGCTGCAGGTCAGGCCTCCCCCCAGTCCCCTCAGACCCGGGCACCCCTGGGTTGTGGCAGGGCTGTGCCTGTCCTGCCCACTGCCTGGCTCGCTTGACGCCACAGAGACGCCTTTTTCCCCAGCCCTGCCAGTCTTCCTACTGCTACTGTCAGGAGGTGCTGGACCGTCTCATCCAGTGTGGGCTCCTGGTTGCTGAGGAGGTAGGCAGAGTCACTAGAGACAAAGCTCCTGCCTGGGTCTGGCCTCCCTCAGCCTTGTGCTGTGGGGGCAGGCAGCCTCTGGCCAAGCAAACAGGGAAGCCTGGGCCCTGCCTCTGCAGCTCTGTACCTTAGGACTTGTGTGTCTACCAGCCCCAGGCCCGTTTGTCATAACAGGACTGCACAGTTGTACCTCTGAGGTTCTCTGCACGCCTCCTGCCCCCACATTTCTTGTCCATAGGGCTATAGCCCTTGAGGGTGGGTGCCTACTTCCTCTTACCCTACAGGTTTGCTCAGCAGGTCTTGTGTGGGCTCCTAGGTCTGCTTTTACTGGTTGTACCACTATGTGCCTAGGCTGCCATCTATCTGATCTGGGGGACTCGGGGCTGAACCTTGGCCAGCCTGGCAGGGACCAATGGCTCCTCTGGCCCCCAGACCCCAGGCTCCCAGAAGGCCTGCGACACAGGGAGACAGCATTTGAGCGCCAAGCTGCTTTGGAAACCGAGTGGAGACTTTACTGATAGTGACAGTGACGACTTCGAGGAGGCTGAGGGCCGGTACTTCAGGGTGCGTTGGGAGAAGCCACCAGGGAAGGAAGCAGTAGGGAGACAGTGGGGGCTGCCCTCACTGGCCTGTCTCCCTCCAGCTCAGTCAGCAGTCTCGCTGCCCTGACTTCTTCCTCTTCCTGTGCCGCCTGCTCAGCCCACTGCTCAAGGCCTTCGCCCAGGCTGCAACCTTCCTTCACCAGGGCCAGCTGCCTGACACAGGTGAGGCCTGCACTCCCCTGGCTGTCCTCAGAGAGGGGCTGAGAGCTCAGGGCAGGGCTCTGCCTGTGCGGGCCTAAGTCTCCTCTGCCCCATAGAGTCACGCTACACGGAGCAGCTGTTCCAGTTCCTGCAGGCCACTGCCCAGGAGGATGGTTTTTTTGGTGAGTTCCAGCCAGGTGGCACGCAGGAGGCAGGGGATTGCGGCCCTCTGCTGGGCAGTGCCAGCCCCACTCCAGGAAGGAGGGCTGCAGAGTAGAGAGGGCCACTGGGTACAGTCTGAGCTCTGCCTTGGGTGGTTTCTCCTTCCAGAGAGAGGGAGAGAAGCCTGTGCCAGTGGCTGCCTGTGCTGGTGGCTGGCTGCACCCACTAGAGCTTCACTTCCTTCTCCCACTCAGAGTGTGCAGACCCAAGTCTTGCCATCAGGGCTGTCTGGACTTTCAGAGACTTGGGGGTAAGAGGCCATTTTCACCCTCCTCCTATCCCCCTGCTTCCACCTAATAGACCTGTTCAGGGAAGCCCACCTGTGCCCACCCCAGGTTTTCCTCAAGAACAGGTGTGGTGACAGGAGGTGAAGATGGGATGGTTTTCCTGCCCCTCTTCGTTTCCCAAACCACTGCTTCATTCTGCTCCCAGGTGGGGTGCTGGGGATGGTTTGAGGCAGCACTGTTCAAACCCTGAGGCCTAAGGCCAGGGGTCTCACTGAAGGAATCCTCCATGGTGAGTGCTCGCAGCCCTTCTCTGTGGCACAGGTGCTGCAGCAGACACCCAGCCCTGCAGGCCCCATGCTCCACCTGTCCCCTACCTTCACCAGCCGGGGCAATCAGGAAAAGCTCGAACAGTTCATCCGGCAATTCATCTGTGGCTAGAACTGTGGGGGAGGAGCCTGTGCTGAGACTTCTCAGCCCCAGAACACAGCTGAGCCCTGAAACCAGAAGCCTGAGGCTGCTGCAAACCCTTGGTTGGCCAATAAAATTGTTGAGGTTTGATTGTCTCTTACCATCTTTTGCTTTCTCCATCCTTCGGTGTGATAAATGAGGGGACTAGCCTGGACAAGTCCTCTTTCCAAGCCGAGCAGTGTCTTTGGTGTAGGTTCTCAGTGTCTGTTCTCCTTCCCCACCCCGTGACAGTGCCCTATCTTGCTCCCTGAAACAAACTTAAAAGATGGGCAGGAACCAAGCTGCTGCTTTAGACTGAGAAGTTTATTGAAGAGGAGAGTCCCACTTCCTCCTCCTCTACCTAGAGGAGCAGCCTAGAGTGGGCTGGAGCTGTACGGGGCTGAGTGGAAGTGGGCGCCCCACCTCTCGTCTTGCGTCCAGGGCCTGCGGCAGGAGCTGTCATACCACCTTGTTGATAATGACACCCAGTTCTTCAATCTCACACTGGACCTCATCACCCTTCTGCAATGGAGTGGCCACAAGTGGTCAGTCCTCAGCCTGACACACACATCTATACATGCACAGGCCTGGGTTTGTCAGGTCTGAGCCAAGCCTGCCAGGCCTCTGGGTCCCTCTCCCTTTCTTCCTTTTTGCCAGCCTACCTTGAGAAAGACTGGAGGTTTCCTGAAAACACCAACACCTGGGGGGGTCCCCGTCAGGATGGTGTCCCCGGGGTAAACAGTGACAAACCTGGGGCAAAAGGGCCAGGTGAGACTAGGGGCTGAGATGCCAGAGCCTGGGATGGAAGGCTCAGCTCGGCTGCAGGTGACTGTGGGTCAGGGCTTCACCCTACTTACTGGGAGACCCAGGCTATCAGCTCTTCTATCTTGAACACCATCTGACTGGTGTTGCTGCTCTGGACCACTTCCCCGTTCACCCGGCAGCAGATCTGTAAGTTGTGTGGATCTGAAATGCAGAAACACCACCATGGGGCTCCCCTCCAGAGAGGGACACATGGCCGTTTTGTGCCTTAAAAAGAGGGACATCTGTCCACAGCGAAGGCTGACAAATGCAGATGTGAAAGTGTTGGCATCTATGAGGCAGCGGGGAATGGCGTGAGCAAAGCAGCGCAACCCCTGCACCTGACTCGGGCAGGAGCGGCCCACCAGTGAGTACCCTGGCAAACCACACATTTATCTTAACCTTTGTCTTACACACTCACAAAGACACACTCTGAGAGCAGCTGGAACACAATCTAACTTGACTGTTGACTGACTGAACAAGGCGGTGTGAGGCTACCCCCACCCCCCCAACACACCCCCAACCTAAACAGCCATGCTCCCTCTGCACCACCCTCTTCCCTCCTGGCTCCTGGTGTCCTTGCTGGTAGCCAGTGCGGCCCTGGTCACAGTAGCTGGGGAAGATCCTGTTGGTCCTCTCCATCTCTCTGACTGAAGAAAATGCATGGGCTTTGTGACAGTCTCTGTGACACTCAAGGGCCAGCTTTGCCCTCTTCCAGCCTAAAGACTCTCCCAGGTGGTGGCAGCTAGAGGAAGCCCGACTGCCCATCAGGGGAGCACTGCTCTTGTAATGCACTGGATGAATGCAGATTCACCACCTCTGCGGCTGTGGTCTTCCAGGGGGTGAGGGCATGTGCTTGTGGCCCAGTCGAGACTTGCTCTCTAAGGAATCAGTGAAAGGCAGCAGGGGAGGGGGCTCCCCATCGAGCTGTCCCCACACTCCCGCTTCCTGAGTGCTGCTGTTTCTTTGCTTTGACATATCTGACCAGAGCAAGAAGAGTATCATGGTGGCTGTCAGAAACCTACCTGCTACACTGTCCTTAGTCACCAAGGCAGGGCCCAGGGGACAGAAGGTGTCAAAGGTTTTTCCCAGCAGCCACTGCTTTCCATTGCGTCTCATTTGCCAGTCACGAGCACTTACGTCATGTGCCACAGTGAAGCCGGCCACATAAGCCATGGCATCTGTGGCCTAGGGGGGCAGGGGATTTGGCCAGACTGGAGGTTAGGTCACAATGACACCAACCCCTATAACAAAGCCTTTATCCCACACTAGTAGCCAGAGCCCACCAAAGGTGCTAGGCAAGGGACAAGGCAGATGCCACAGCTGATCACTTCCCAAGGCCAGGGACAGTGGGTACCACCCCTTCAACCTCACCTTGATGTGCTTGCCTTTCTTTCCAATGACCACGGCCAGTTCTACCTCCCAGTCCACCTCCTGTAGAGCAGGAAAGGAGCAGTGAATCACCTGGCCCTGGGGCCTGTTTGGTGCTGGGGGGCTGCACGCCATGTCTTCAGGCTTGGGCTTCTAACAGTGGGGTCAGTTGCTGGCCCAGAGTCATTATAAAAACAGAGTGGAGGGTGGGTGTGACTTGTAGACCCATAAACCTCGGCAATGGCAGGCAGCACCACTGGATGGAGGCACAGCTCCCACGGTGACTAGAGGACCAACACTGGTCTGTGGACTGTATTTAAAAGTCACTCTTGATACTTCCAAAGAATGATGGGTACCAAGTGATAATAGCTAACCCTACTGTGTGCCAGACACCACTCCACTAATACATTAAAGGCACTCCAGTGCTTTAATGTATTAACTCACTTAAACAGTAAAAAGACCAACATGCCAAAATAAACATGGGCAAAAGGCTTGAATAAGGAATTCACAAAAAATACACAGGGCCGCAAAAATGAAAACATACTCAGCCTTTACCGAATCAGCAAAGTGCTACAAAACAGACGCAACCTAACCCTTCAAACTGGCTGATCTTCTGAATGATCCAGAGCGGCTACGAGCACACCTGGCGCCGACCTTGTCTCTAGTATCAATATGCACTAGAAAGAGGCACTGATCCTAGGTCCAACACAGTACAAGATAAGCCTATGCTATCCTGGACAGAAAGCAGGGAAAGTGCTCAAAAAGTGATGGGGATGGGGTCCAACTTGAAGCCACCCACTGGCCAAACAGATCATTTGCATATTAGACTATAAATGATGGATTACAACATACTGTATAAAAATAAAAATCAAGAATTCACAGTGGTTCTAAAGGAATGGAGTAAAAAAAAAGGCAGCCTTTGTTTACAAAATGCCAGCTAATTAGGAGGAGAAAGCATGATAGAAAATCAGTTTTCTAACCCCAGTGCAATAACGGAGTCAGGTAAAGATGACCAGGGATCTCGGGTGAAAACAGTGGGGCAGTAAGATAGTCCCATGGTCTCAAACAACTGCAGGTAGGTTATTGCCAGAGAACTGCACCTTCGCAAAGGAGAGGTCTGGTGAACAAACAGCGAGCAAACCCAATGATCAAGCTTTAGGCAGCTGACAGGAACCTCCAGTGGGATGCAGTGTGAAGATATAGTATCTGTATTGTATAGACTGATTGCATCCCTCCAAACCCTATGTTGAAACCTACCCCCTCAATGTGACAGGCTTAGGATGTGGGGCCTTTGGGAGGTGACTGTCATGAGGGCAGAACCCCATGAATAGGATTAGTGCCCTCAAGAGACCCAGAGAGCTCCCTGGACCTTCAACCCCAGAACAGGGAGACATCATCCAGGACCTGGAAGTGGCCTTCCCAGGCACCAAATTTATCAGCACCTTGATCTTGCACTACTAGCCTCCAGAACTGTGGAAAATAAATGTTGTTTATAAGCCACCCAGTCTATTTTGTTATAGCAGCCCAAATGGACTGAGGCACCTGCGTAGAACTCCTGACAAAATGTTTAACCTGAATCTAATCATGAGGACACAACCAGGCAAATCCAGACTGCAGGACAGGCAGGACATCTCATAAGATAGCCTGCCTGGACTTCAAACGTCAGTGTTGTGACAGAAAAGGGCAGCAGGCTGTGGTCAGAGACCAGAAGTCAGCACAGTTCAGCCTGTAGGTGAATCCTGCTCACTGCCTGTTCTGCAGACAAAGCTCTCCTGGGACACAGCCACGTTTATTCATTTGCATGGCAGCCATGCCGCTTTCACACTGCAGTGGCGAGGCTGAACTGTTGCAACAGACACCATCTGGCATTGCAAGTCTAATATTTACTAACTGGGCCTTTCTGAGAAAAAGCCTGTGGATACTTGTGGATCTGTAGACTAGAGGCCCTAAAGAGACAAAACCAAATACAATGTGTGGCCTCATTTGATCCTGGGTCAACAAAGAAACAAAACAGAACCCAAATTCAAAGTCATCTCTCAGTTGGACTATACATTAGAGATTATTCCTGTTAATTTGCTGGGTTGTGATAATACTACTATGGTCAGGTAGGATGCTGTCCTTATTCTTGGAAGCAAAGTGCTTCTAATGCCAAATTTTGTAACTGTCTACAGTGAAGGTATATTACTTTTATACTTCAAATGGGAATAAATGGAAAGGTCTCTCTTCTACCAATTTTATTCCTGAGGCCAGTCTCATTACTGTATAACCCCCCATATCACTCTCCCTGGGTTTCTGTTTAATGCACTACTGAGCTGGGTGCCATGTACCCTTTTGATGGCCCCAGTGACGCAAGAGGGCAGCGGGAAGGCACCCACCTGGCTCTCAGGTGGGAGGACGATCTCATCGTAGGGCCCCACGATGGAGCTGGCGAACTTGCTGAAGATGATAGGCTCCTTTGGCACAGGCACGTTCTGTTCCTTGCAGTGGTCCACGTAATTCATGCCCACGCACACCACCTTGTCTGGCCTTGTGACCGGAGCCAGGAAGGTCACCTCTGACCGTGGAAGGACTGGCAACTGGGCAGCCAAGGCTCTGCAGAGACCAGAGCAGGAGGGGCTGGCTGAGAGCAGGCCAGCAGTCCTGCTACAAGTTTTGCTGTTAATCAGAGTTAATGTAAAAATCAAGGCCAACTATTATCCTTTGACATCAGAGCACTGTTTAATATTTACCCAGTTGGATTTCCTTTCCCTCACTGGGTCACACACATCCAGGTAAGGGAATTCAGAAGGTGCAGATAGGAGTGATTGAGAAGGTTCTTCTTCTACCCCTTCTTCTGGTCCCCCTGCTCCGGCCTTGGAGATACACTGTGTCCTGTGCAGCTCTTCACAGCTACTCTATTCTTCTCCTCTCCTCATTTTATATGAATGATAGCATATTATGTACACCATATTAAAAATGTACCATATACATATTTTAAAGATCTCACCATAACAATATATTATGGCTGCATATTAGTGCACTATAGAGACACACCCCTTCCAGGGATATGGAAGTAGGCTCCAACCTTGGGAGAACATGAAGTTTAGGAGACATACTCTTACCCACACTATGTGCTGTTCAACATTTGTATTTTTGCCAGTTTAAAAGGTACAAATGGTATCTCAGAGTGGTCTTACTGTCTATCGGTACCTTTAGAACAGATGCCATAGGGCTCCTGGCTTCACAGAAGTCCCTATCTAATCTAGCCCAAACCCAAGAATCTTGAAGAAAACTTCTTTGCAGTCCTCTTTCCCTTAAGAAGACAAGAGTCCAATCAGTCCCCCCGCTTCCCAAAGTGCCACTTAGCACGGCAGATCCCAGACCCCTCCGGCAAGCAGCACCTTCACCCCCGGGGAAAGCAGTACTATGAAGCGGAGTTTTGTGGCCTTGGGACATCACTCTCCCTGGGCCTCAGTTTCCCCCTCTATAAACCGAGGCTGCTGTCATATAAGATTTCTAAAGCTCTGCATTAAGAGAATAGGTGAGAAAGGAAAGTGGAGGCTACCCTGCTCCCTTGCAAAAGAGCTACCTGCTGGTTCTGTTCCCCAGGCCAAGGAGGGGGTGGAAGGAAGGAGAGGGGAAACCGGGCAACCACCACAGGGTGAGGGTACCCGCTGATTTACCTTCTTGCCACTGAGAGAGTGGACTCTCCCTGCTCCAGGAACTCCACCATCGTCCTGGGCAGTGTGGGGTCGAAGGCGTTGAGGTTGATGACCCCCCCACCATTCCCTGACTCCAGGCCCAGGTGAGGCCCCACCAGGTGGGGTGCCTGGAACTGCACCAGTCTCATGTGTCTGGAGGGCTGGAAGGGCCACTGCTGAGTAAGCAGCAGAGCTGTGAGCAACCTTTTTCTAACAGGAAACAGCATCAGAGTCTGTGGAGAAAAAAGCAGGTTACAGAGCACAGAGGGCGCTGGCAAGCTCGTCAGGGCCCAAAGACCCTTGAGCTGCAGCCCCAGTCCCTTCGAGCTCCAGCCCAAGCTCCTGGCACACCACATGGAAGTGGTCTGGATTTGTAAGTTATTTCACCCTGTTACACTTCATAAAGTGTTTTTTGCTCAGTTCAATGCACGCAATGAAACCTTCCTAGAGGAGAAAATACTTCACATCAGGCTCTAAGCTAGTAGCCAGGGAGTCTGGCGTTCCTTCAACCAGTGCTTTCTGAAAGCATATGCTACCTGGCACCATCGTGGCACGACGCAAACAGTGTAGCTCAAACATACTCAGCCCTGCCATCCTGCTCACAAGGAAGACTGATGTTAATAGCTGATGCCATACGATTCAGCAATGGGACTTCTGCTGTGACCATCAAGGGTCCTGCAAGTCTGTTCAGGGAAGTGTGACGAAGTGGAGTTTTGTGGCCTTGGGATAATCACCCTGCCTGGGCCTCAGTTTCCCCCTTTATAAACTGAGGCTGCTGTTGTATACGATTTCTAAGGCTCTTCACTAAGAGAGCAGGTGAGAAAGGAAAGCTGAGGCTACCCTGCTACTTGGCAAAAGAGCTACCTGCTGGTTTGGTTTCCCGGGATGGACACTTGTCTAGTTTCTTAAGGAAGTGATGCTAAAATGGATGGGGCTAAGATAAGCAGGACTGGGAGTTAGATAAGGGTGGGGCAAGTCACAGGCAAATGCCCATTGGGGAAACTGGCTTTACGACTGCCACAAATGCATGTGTAATGCCAATTTGATCCTGTTACCCTCCTACTTAAAATGCTTTCCCCCGCTGACAGTATCAAGCCATAATCCACCCCCGTTCCACCTTCTGGGAGCAGCCCCCACCTACCTCCTCTGAGAGTAAATATTTACTTTTTCCTGCTGGAGCACAGGCTGCCTGAGGGAGGCTGCAAAGGGCAGGGCCCAGGTCTGAGAGGCATCGATGGGCTGTCTCCTCTCTGGTTCCGGGGCCTCGTCTGTCTTTTACTGTTGAGTTCACTGTTCCTGGCACACAGGGGCTCTTAGCCACTACTCTGCCAAAGCAGGGGCTCGACTTTTCACTACTTGGGAAAGCTTGGTGATTGCCAAGCCCAGGAAGCGTGGCTGTGCCTTCCCTCTTCAAATCACCTAGAAGGTATCAACAGGGCTCATACCTTGTTTCAAGTTCCAAGCTTCACTCAAAAACAAACCCCTTCCTCTTGTTTTATTTCTAACCTAAGTCTGGTCTCCAACAAGTTCCTTCCATAGTTGGTTCCTTGCTTTAAAAAACAAGTCTTTATGTTCAGGCATGTGTAGGTAGTACCAGACTCCCGGTCCTCACCCCAATGATTCCATCTGCCTTGTTCATCTAGAGAGGCATTAGACCCAGCCACGAGCTACTGCTGTGCTGGCTGATGCGTTTGACAAGAAAACGAGGGCCTGAGGCCTCTTGCCCTCCTGTCTTGCACAGGTCCAACCATGCCACAGATCCAAGTCTGTCCCAGCTGGAGTGAACACACTCAAACACTCCACCCGCTAATATACAGGGTCTGGCACAAATAACGCACCTGTTTATTACAAAATCCTAAGCATATAATTCTGTAACATAAAAATATCACACTCAAGCACACCACAGGACACTTTAGGTAAAATGTTCAAATTGCTGTCCATCTCACTGGAGACAGTCACGTACCCTACCAACCACACTCAAGCAGACATTACTCTTGCCAGACCCTGTGTATTCAATAGCAACTGCTCCCACTGAACGCCAGGTCTCTTTTAAGTGCTTTATCCACAACGTCTGATTTATTCTGATAATTGTGGAAGGTTGGTATTGTTAGCCTCATTTTACAGGTGAAAAAAAACAAGGTTTAGAGAAGTTATGGGATCCTCCCACGTTTCCAAGGAGCAGAAAGAGCTGGGACTTGAATCCAAGCCCAGGTGGTGTACAAACAAGACAATCAGGCTGTAGCCCACCCCCACCTCCACCCCCAGGGCACTTTAGCCCAGAGGATTGTGTGAGAAGTAGGGACCTCCAACAGGAGACCCTCTAGAGGCCCAGACACCCTGCCTGCTCTTGGCCATGCTCAAGGAAACTTGGTCACCCGTTGGCTGCCGCCTCAGGAATAGGCTGGTGGTCACCTGCTCTCCAAGATAACCCCAGGCCACACTGACTGACTGCAGGTTCTCACCTGGTCCTACCACTATCCCCTCGGGCAGAGCGCCCCATTTACAGGAGGTGGCACTGATGCCTAAAAAGGAGCCGTCACCTGCCAAAGTACCAGTCAGAAAGTGACCCTTGCGCTTCCGCGGTTGCCGCCCTGCAGCAGAGCCCGAGCTCCATCGAATTCTGCCAAAGAGTGCCTAGGCAAAGTCGCAGGGACATGACGCGCAAACAGCGCACATGCACCGCAGGTTGGAGACGTATGTACCTGGGACTGCGTCCCACCGTCGGTCCACACGCACAGCACCCTGGGCCAGTCCTTCGATTTCCCTACGTGCTTAGCTTGGTCCCCTGCATTCAGTGGGCGCTCAGGAGGGCCCGTCCCTGTGGTCCCAGCGGCCGGGGTCTGAGGTCCAGTCCTGGCCTTGGCCGGCGCTTCCCGTGGGGAAAGCCCGCAGGCCGCCGGAACCCGACCTACCTGGCCACGGCGGCCGGTCTGTAGGGCGCCCCCACGCTATCGGACTAAGCTCTCGGGGCCAGGGTCTGGGGTTGGCAGACGCCGAGGGACTGGTGTCACGTCGCAATACCGCGACCTGCGCCGGGAATCCGGGCTGCAGCGCGCAGGGCGGCTTCTCCAATAAGATTTTGGCAAGGCGGCGCTCTGTGGTGACGCTACATACAACGGCCAATAACTGAGCGTTTTGTCCTGTTTCGGGTGTCGTGTACCGTGGGGCCGACCAACGCCGGAAGGCAAGAGGTCAGCCCTGGAGACCTTTAGGCCAGTGGGCTGGACCCGCACGACCTAGTTCCACGCAGCCGGCGCTCACAGCGACCAGAGAGCCAGCGCTTCTTTTCACTTTCTGCCCTGGGCGCCGCACTCCCTATCCCCCGCGCCCTTGCCTCTGAGCCGGCCCCAATTTTTCTGTATTTTAATATGGAACGCTTCACGAATTGGCGTGGCATCCTTGCTCAGGGGCCATGCCAATCTTCTCTGTATGGGCCCAGTTTTAGTATATGTGCTACCAAGCGAGCACACAAGCACCGTTTTGATGTTGGGCAAATGCAGTAGAAGAAACCAAATTATAGCACGCTGGTCAACAAAGACAAATCTCTGGCATGTTATTGAGGACTGGAGGGGTGATTGCACCCACTTTGCATATGGGGCGCCTGAGGCTGGAAGTGTTTTGCGCAAGATGACACAGGCAGTGAGGTGGGGGACCACTATTTTTGACCCCAGGTACAGCCTTTTACACCCATCTGCAGCAGCCCTGTCTTCGTATGCTGTGTTGGGCTCGGGCAGGATAGTGGGAGGCATGATTTCCAGCGTCAGAGGCCAGGCATTTTCTTGGAAAGGTGCTTTAATTAAATCAGGCAGTTACAACCCAAGCTCTCTAGGCCTCTGGCAAATGATGACCTATAAGGGTCTGTGGGCAAGAGGGCCAAGACTTAATAAAGGGCCAGATCATCAAGGGCTTTACTTGTCCCCGAAAGGAGTCCGCATCTTATCTAGCACACAGGAGACCACTGGAAGGTCCCCACAGGGTGATGCGTGGTTAGACTTGCATTTGAGTAGTTTTATTCTGGTCACACCTCCAAGGAGAGGTGTCTGGGTGAGAGTGGTGCAGATGAGAGCGATGGTGGCTTGGTGTGCATTGGAGATGATGAGAGTTCATAGAAATGACAGTCCCCGATGAGGACAAGAGGTAGGGGAGGGAGGAAGGAGGACAAGGCTACCTCTAGGTCTGATACATAGTAGTACCATTCACAGGTTCTGGAATGGGTTCTGGAGGGACAGCAGTTCTGGGGAGAGGACAGTGAGCTCAGTTCTGGATGGAGTGTGTTTAATGTGTATGTGGGACATTCAAGGCGTCACTGCAGAGTGGGCAGTGGGAGTGTGGGGCTCTAGTCTGGCTTCAAGATAGAGGTCAACACAGAGATAAAAATGAAACCTGTGGGGGTGAGTGTGAACAGGGGGATGCACTAGTGAACCTGGCACAAGCCCCAGTCAGGAGACCCGCCCTGCAAGGGTGACAGCACCAGAGGAGCCGTCAGAAATTCAGGGAGACAAGGGACACATAAATTAGGCAGATGTCAGGGGGCCACGCCTGCCAAAAGCCAAGGAGAGGAGGACTTCTACTTCCGAACAAGATGGAGTGACGAACAGGATTTATCCTTGCATGAAGCAACCAAAAAAAAAACCTCAAAACAAATATCCAAAACAATGGTTTTCGAGAGACTGGACCTTAAGTAATGACGAACAGTGATAACAGATAGACAGGAAACAAATGAGGCCCCTGCTTAACGCTGTGAAACAGTGTCCAGGCTGTGGCACGAGAAAGGGGGACTGAGATGGGGCCAGCGTTGCCCATGAATTGCAGGTAGGGAGTGGAGGGCCCAGTAGGACCTTGGTAGCTGCAGTTTGCAGGACAGTACTGGAGAGAAGACACCTGGGCAGAAAGAGAACTTGGCGTTCTGTAGGGGATCCTTCTCAAGTGTTCAACTGAGTCCTCAGCAGTGCATACCTGTGAAGCAGCTCCCTGAGACTAGGGGAAGCATCCTCAAGAAGAACCAGAGGGAAGTGCCAAGAGGATGCACTAGCCCAGGAACAGTGCCTCTTTCCCCTCATCAGGTTGGAATGACAGAGATCGTGGGACACAGGGTAGAGGACTCACGAAGGTCTTGCCTCTGCAGGGAATAATGAGCCCTAGACCTCACTGACAGATTGTAAAATCAAGATCCCAAAGGGTCAAACTGTTTCCAAGTAGTTTAACTATATCACAGGCGAAGCTCAATAATGTTTATAGAAATTACAAAATACCCAGCAGCCCACAAGGTAAAATGCACAAGATCTTATATCTAAAGAGAACCCAAGTTCAGAAAGAAGCAGGAAAATATGATCCACGGTGAGAAGAATCAGGCATTTTAATGCAACTCAGAACTGACAGATGTTAGAATTAATGAACAAGAACATTATAACAGTTACTATAGCTATACTCCATCTGTTCAAAATTAGAGATATGAAGATATTTTTTAAAAGGACCCAAATCAAACTTCCATGGACGTACACTACAATGTCTGAGGTGAAAAATGCACTTGGTGGATTAATGGCAGATTCAATATTGCAGAAGAAGAGGTTAGTAAATTCAAAAATAGCACTAATCTGTTGGAGTCGAAATTATCAACATAAAGGGAAAGAGGAGAGGCAACATTCTGTGTTTTCTAGGTCTTTTGGAGACATGGAGTTGGCGTTTTGGCCACAAATGTGCGTGCCTACAAGGAAGGTGGTACCATAGACCTCAGGGGATGGGTCTGTTCAAACAGGAGCGCCCACAGATGTTACCGTGGCAAAACTGGGGGTCTGCAGCGTCACCCAGCCTGCTGTCGGCATCGTTCCAAACAAAGGAGTTAAGAGCAAGGTCTTGCCAAGGGAATGAATGTACATATTGAGCATCTAAGCACTCTTAAGAGCTGAAATAGCTCCCTGAAACCTGTGGAGGAAGTGATCAGGAAAAGAAGGAAGCCAAAGAGAAAGGTGTTAGGCTTCACGGAAGCACCAGCCTGCTCCACCAAGAGAAACAAAATGGACAGTGGGTCCTCCGCTTGTGAGAGCTGATGCAAAGCGGCCTTGAGGATGTCACAGTCTTAGCTGGTGGCAGTGGCAGTCCAGGGCTGACTGATGGCCTGCTCTGTGAGGGCTTATTTTTAGTTTCTGATGTTTTGCTGTATTTGGTTTTTCAAAATGGTGGGAAAACACCCCCTGGCTTTGTTAGCTGAGCTCCAGGGAACAGGATACGGCCAGAATTGCTCGGGAAAGGAAAGTGGATGGAAGAGGGCTGTGCTGGGGCGAGGTGGGGGTGGGTGTTCAGAAGGATGTGCCCTGCAGCGCGGGCCATGTGTTTCAGGCAGACTTTGACTTTGGTGCCTCTTGGGCTGGCCTGTGGCCCAGCAGACTCACTCTGGGCTGTGTGCTCCACAGCAGTGGCTCCTCCCCTACAACCTTAGGTTCAGCAGCATTACTGACCACTCCTCCCCCACGTGCCAGCTGCAGGGCTGTCCTGGGGCCACGGGGGTGAACACCGTGGCTCCTGCTGGCCGAGACCCGCAGTCTGGCAGGGGGAGACAGGGCTGGGCATGTTGGTCCCAGGACCGCCTTCCTCCAGGTCTCACTGACGTCTGGGAAGCATGTTCCACCCCACAGCTGAGCCTGACAGTGAGGGCTGTAGCAGTTGAATGTTTTTCAGCCAGCTGAAAGTTCCACAGCCCAGTTCCCACTAGCTTCGGGTGGAGTGTTGGGGATAGGAGATCCCATGAATGGCTCATATAAGTGAAGAATCTAGAGAATGGGAGGGGCTTCCTTAAGGTACAGTTTAATTTTGAGCTCAAGGGCTGACCCCTGCCTCCCTTTCCCCCACTTTCTCAGTCTCCACCCCTCGGCCATCTCTTCTGCTCTGACTTCATTCTCATGCCCCTGCCTGTGACAGAATGGCAGCACCAGCCCCAGGACTCACGGCCCTGAAGCTTCAGATGTGAGGGAGTGGAGCCTTTCCCAGCGTTCTGGGTTTGGGTCTTCCTGGGCCTCCTTGGCTCCAGGTGCCCACCCTCAGCCTTTCACTGACCAGGAGAGCCATGTATCAGTGGGCTTAGGGCTGGCCTTGGAGGCAGGGTCCCAGACTTCCAGGATGGAGGGGGAGAGTGATCCCCAGAGAAACTGGGGGTCACCGCCAGAGGACGGAGAATGCTAGAGAGGCAGCAGACTGATCAGCTGACTTTCTCAGTGCCCCCATGGTGCCTCGGATGTCACGAGAGCTCCTGAGGGCCTTTGTTGCCGGGGGAAAAGGCAGGGCCAGCTCAGGCAAAGTAGTGGGGTAGACATAGATCCTGCATCCATACGACAGTTTGATAATTTCCAAAGCCTGCCACAAGAGCTGAGCAGAGGGGGGCCTGTGCCTGAGTCCGGGTGCAAGAGCAAAGCAATGTCGGGCTGGGGCAGGTGAGTTAGAGACTAGCTGAGGTTTCCTGGTCAAGAAACAGACAGAACAAAAAGGTATCCAGCAGATGGCAGAGAGCACAGTTCTAGCACATGGCCCTCGGCAGTCGGCAGCTGTCAGGGGAAGTTCATGGGTCGGACAGTCTCTGGGCTGGGAGCTACACTGCCCAAGAGAGGGCTGTGCTCAGCTGCCTGCTCAGAAGGAGCCTGCATACCTCCCAGGGCCACACCAGGCCTCCTGCCACGCCCATTCCCATCACACTGCCCCTTCTCCAGGATCTCTCAAGTCTGGACAAGGGCTAACCAGAGCTGGAGCCTCCCTTTGAGATATATGCAATTTCCCTGTGCAAGTGGGCAGGGTATGGGAGAGGTGGGTGGAGTTGCTTCCAGACGCCCTCAGCTTGGCCCTGCATAGGCACAGGATAACTCCCAGCCGTGCTGGCCCTGGCACTGGCCGTGGGCTCCCTCCCTGTGCAGATTGCCCCACCTGCATCCCACTTTCCTCTCCAGTCAGCACCTGGCCGAGCTCACTCCGCAGGCAGCTGGGGTCTGCACATTTCTTTCATGTCCAGCTGGTTCAGACAGTCCAAGCGATTGTCGCTGACCCTGGCAAAGCCAGGTTTTGTGTCGTTTTCAGTGGAAGCAGTTAATACAGGTTCCTGGATACCCCATATCATTGGATGCTAGAGTGCTTATATTGTTTAATGTTAAACCTTCTATCTCTAGAATAAACCCAAGTCTGTCATGATGTTAAATATATCACATATATATCTTACATGGTTGAAATGAGATTACTAATATTATGACTTTTACATCTTTGTTTATAGTTGAGATTGTCCTATAATTCTTTCTTATCCTATTCATGACTTTCTTTTTAATCCTGGTAATACTAGTCTTTAAAATTAGTTGGGGAAGGTTCCTTTCTTTTTTCTGACACCAAGACCGAGAGGGAGAGGGACAGGGAGAGAGAGAGGGAGAGGGAGAGGGAGAGAGAGAGAGAGAGAGAGAGAGAGAGAGAGGGGTGGGGGGGGGGACAGGCTGAGACTTGTCTAAGGCCACACAAGTTTTATGGTCCGATCAGGACCAAGGTTTCCTGATGCTGAGCCCAGAGACCCTTCCAGGCCCCTCACTGCCCCTCAGCCATGGAGAGCATAACCAGCTGCCCCTGTGCACTGGATGACTGGGTCAGGGAAGTGCTGGGTAGATGAGTGGGAAACAGATGTACAAACAGAGGGACAGATGGATGGATGGTGGGTGGATGGGTGGCAGCTGGCATATAGATGGATGGTGTTTGGTCTATGAATGGAGAGATAGATGGGTTTTCCTTACTCTGAGCTCTGTGGCCCATCCTGAAGCATGTGTTTCAGTGCTTACGTCCAGCCTGGAGTCACCATCCTGGGTCCAATCCTGATTCCACTCTTTAATGGCTGAGAGGTCTTAACACCTTTCAGCTCAGCTTCCTGAGCCTGCCCACCAGGCTGTGGCTGGAGTGAATGGGCTCCGCAGAGTGGCCAGCCCGTGGCCAAAGCAGGCTGTCCCACCCAACAGCAGAGTCGGGCGGCTCCCTCGCCGGGACTGTGCCAGGGTCCTCGAGCTCAGGTGGGAAAGTTTTGCTGTGTGTGGTGGGGGAAGGGGTCTTGTTATCTGCCCTCCTGGCTACTGCTGATTCCCATCAGTCACAGCTGGTGATCCGTGGAGGCTTGCGTCTGCGTCACTGTGGGAATGTCCTGTGGCCCGGGGTCTGGCCCCTGAAGACTACCCAGAACCTACCTCTTCTCTGTCCCCAAGTTGGGGACCCCCCTTCTGCTCCTCCCCTCAGGTTTTCATTTCTTGCTACTCCCCTGGCCTAACCTTTATGGAGCTTAGTTACACATTTGAAAACAAAAAGCAGGAAAGAAAGGCATCATCAGGCCAATCTGGTTTCTGCCTTGTGACCTGCACTCTCCAGCCATGGGGATATGCAGGGATTATTCCCTGGAACAGGTATAGGAAAGTGACCTGGGAATGAATATAAATGGCCCCTCAAGAAGGTACGCTGCCTGCTGGCTGACTTTTCTCATGAAGGCTGGCACTGTGGCCATCGCACCCCAACGCTGCCTTTGGTGATATTACATTAGGAGCTTGAAATCCAGTGTAGAAACTGACAAATGCTACAATTTCAAGGCATGTTGAACACTTACCAGCACGGTGCTGGGCAGGAGCCGTGGATAACAGCAGAGATGAGAGGAGCCGGACAGAAGTTTACAGTCAGGATAAAGCCAAGGAGAGTCCCTCTCCTCTGTCAAGTTTATTTTATTAAAATATACAGAACTGAATATTGGTGGGCGCTGAGAACAGGAACTGCCCTCCCGGGCTGTGCCCAAGGGAGATGCTTCTGCCATGCAGACGTGCGGCCAGTCCCTGTCCCAGTGTGGGAGACCACCCTCTCCTGGTCGGAAGAGAGCCAGCCTGGCCGAGGCCAAGGGGGACAGGGGCATAGTGATGGCCCTTTCAAGGGCCTGGGTCTGAGAAGCAGAGCTACACCAGCTGGGAGGACTGGACTAGGGGCAGGGGGAGAAGATCCCTGAGCCAGGGAAAGCTGATGCCCTCCTGGAGGAGGGGAGAGGGACCCCCCAGTCAGACTGGAGACGGGTGTCAGTGCAACTCCAAGGAGAGGGCCACCTGTGGGTGCCAAGGAGTCCCCAGGACTAAGCCAGACCAGTGTCCATGGTGTCCGCCATCCCACCCTTCCCCGCAGGTGCTGCTCACCTGGGGCCAGGCTGAGCAGAGATTGGGTGACAGCCGATGGAATGTATGTTTGAGAATGTTCCTTGGAAGGGCCTGTGCTGCCTGAGCAGGCAGGAGCCGTCATCTCTGTCTCCCAGGGCCTCTGTGAGCCAGCCACCGACCCTAGGCCCCTCAGCCTGCACTGCTGTCTCTGGCCTCAGGTGGACATTGGCCACATCCCCAGAGCAGAACCCAGCCAAGCAGAGTCCTGGGGTTTGTGCTTGTGAACGTTGGTGAGCTGGGCTGGGGGTAGGTTTTGAGCCCCCACTGCTCTGAGGCACAGATCTGACCCCAGGTTCCTTCCCCGGGCCACCTATATCGGGGATGTGGGGACTCGGGCCTCAGCGCACCAGGAGGGCCTTGTCTGGGGAAAGAAGTGTCTTCGGCTCCCCTCGTGGGCTTGACCTGAGCTGCCGGGGCTGCTTGTGCTTTTTCTGTGGCGTTGGGGTGAGCCTGTGTGGAGTGGTGGCAAACACTGCTTCAGGGCCCTAACCAGACGGGAGGCTCGGCCAAACTGCTGGGCCAAGGGAGACAGAGGCTGAGGGACGGGGACGGAAAAGCCCTTCCTAGGCTTGCTTGCCGCCCAGGCTCCTGGGCTGCCAGTCCCTGAGCCATGTGACCTCTTCTTGGGACCTATAGTGACCTTGGGGTGAACAGTTTAGAGCATGAAGGGTGGGGCAGCCCCACGACTGCATCCCCACTGAGCAGGCCTGGGCGAGTGGGGGAGGTGCGTCAGCAGACAGGCCCCTCCCTCACATTCTCTACCAGGAAATCCAACCCTGAGCTTAAAGGGCCCCCTCCCTGGGATGGAGGGTCAGCAGGGCCCTGCAGTCCCTCACCGCTGGAGCGGAGCTCACCCAGCAGTCCTTCCCAGGAAGCAGCAGGCTGTGCCTCCACCGCCACCACTTCTTTCCTTGACCCCCAGCTGCCCTCCAGGCTCCTGCAGTGAGGGGCCTCTGGGGGTGTGGTTAGTGGGCTGGGAATGGCTGGGGGAATGAGGAACCCAGAGTCTGGTCGATGGGTGGTAGGAAAGACGGAAAGACGGAAAGACGGGAAGACGGGAGCAGGAGGGAGAAGTGACTGGGCTCACACAGGAGGGGCCTTGGCGCTAGAGATTGGACCCTCCTCTGAAGGAGTTGAACACTTTCCTGCTCACATCCAGCAGCCAGTGGCCATACACACTGCTCTCCCATCAGCCCACCTCAGGGGCGGCCTCATCCCGCTGGCCTGGGACATGGCTGGCCGGGGGAGTGTGGCTTACATCACCTGGACCCAGCTCCCAACCAGATGCAGTAGCCCCCGACCTCGGTCCCCCTCTGCCAGCCCAGAGGAATGGATGTGTTTCTGTGTCTGGAGCAAACTATTCACTTTTTGCAAATATATTAGAAAAGTGTTTCTCATGGAGGCTGTTCCTGGCAGGATTGAGGTGGTGGCAATGGCCACTTGGCAATACCCCATGTGTCCTAGATGACATTCTCAAACAGCTGCATGGACCTCATGATGTTCTCATCCTGTGTGGAGAGGGGATGAGAGGCTGGGTTGGGGAAGTGCCCACTTTTGACCACCTTGAGCAAATTTTCTGCAGGGACCCAGAATTCATTCTGCAGGGACTGTCCCTGGGCAATGGGGTGCTGGTCAGGCACAGCCTGTCTTTGGCCCCATGGCCAAAGTGCAGCCCACCTGAGATTGGCTAACACACTGAAGGACAAACCTCCCTGGCTACTCACCCAGACAGAGGCTCAGGTCACTCTGGGAGCGAGTGGCAGAGGTCCAGAGCTCTGCCCACCCCCTGCCTGCAAGGGTCCTCTGCCCAGGAGGGTCAGCGAGCTGGGGAGGCTCCGGGCACCTGTTCCCCAGAGTGACCCTTCTCAAGGGCCACATGGCCTCATTACCCCGCCGTCGGCCCCGCATCTGCCCCCTCTAATTCAAAGCACACAAAGAAGGTACAGGGTGCCCAGGTGGGCTGTGGCTGGCAGGAGTGGGTAGGGAGCAGATGGGTTCAGGTGAGAGAGTAGTAGTGGAGCCCGGAGGTGGGGAGTGGCTTGAGGACCTGCAGGGGCAGGACACTGAGTACTCTCAGCTCCCGAGGACACCTACCTTCTGACAGGTCTCCAGAAACTCATCAATGGTCACTACCCCGTCCTGATTCCGGTCCATTTTCTGCAACCCAAGCCACACCCTTGGTGAGTCTGTGTCTCACCAGGGACTGTCACTGCCCAGGGGCTGAGGATGTGGACCATTGGGCCCCCTCCACCCCAACCTGTCCCCTCTGTCTCCTCCATGGGATCCCAGCCACATACAATGCCCTTCTGGGCCCCTCCCACCCCCAGCTGCTTCCGACAGCCTCCTGGATGACACTTCCAAGAATGTCTCATAGGCAACCAGGGCAGATGGAGTAACTGAGGCACAAGAGGGTCACATGCCCCATAGACACAGAGAGAAGTCACCTCAACCCCACTCCTCTTGCAGTTTCCCTGGAGGAGCTGGGGGAGCTTTGGGAAGGCACCAGAACACAGGCCGAGATGTCAGCCACCTTGTAATCCATGAGCCTCTGCCTGCCCTGAGCCAAGGTTCAGCCGATCGAGGAGTGGGGATGGTGTTTTCATTTGCACCTCTGGTCCTGACAACCAGCAGAGTGGGGGATGCCCGTTTAACCTCCCTGTGGAAGGGGGCGCTCAGAGAGGGGAGTGGCTTGCCCTGGGTGCCCTGAGCAGGGGCCTCTTCCTCTTCCTGCTGCCTTTTCCCGCTTATCCAGGCCAGAGCGCTCACCTGGAAGAACCTCTCCACGTGCTCCAGAGGTGCGTCCTCCCGCACGAGGGGATAGGTGTGCCGGCCCATCATGTCATAGATGGACTTCACGATGGCCAGCATCTCCTGGAGCAGGCAGAGGGACTGGCATGAGTCCAGCTGCAAGAGTGGGGGGAGGGTGCAAGGGCCCGAGGGGAGGGGCTGCATCCGTGAGTGGAGAGCCTTTCCAGGGCAGGTCTGAGTGCGAAGGGGCACCCATCAGCTCAGCCCAGCGACAGCTTCTGACTCTCCAAAAGAAGCTGGACATAGATTTTTGGCTCCAACATTTGAAACTGTAGCAACTAGTTCATATACAAAAGAATGTCTGAGCCAAAAGAATCCACCGTGGACCTGTGTGGTGAAGGCCCCCACATCTAAGGGACCACATTGCCCCTTGATAGGTGGGAGCCAAAGCCAGCCCCACTCTAGGCTTCTCCACCTGTGTCCCCCGAAGCCCTCCTGTAAGAGGGGATGATCCTAGGACACTTGTTACACAGGATTGAGAGGTGTGGTGCAGGGCACACAGCCTCAGGCTCCCTGCACTCAGGGTCCAGGCCGGAGAGCTCCCCAGTGGCTGCCTCCCTGCTGGTCTCTGCGTGGGGAGGGGAGGCCAGATGGGCCATGCCCCAGCCACCCCATACCTCTTTGGTGATGTAGCCGTCCTTGTTAATGTCATAGAGGTTAAAGGCCCACTTGAGCTTCTCCTGGACTGTTCCTCGAAGGAGGACAGAAAGGCCAACCACAAAGTCCTGGGAGGAAAGAAGGGTGAGGAGTGACAGCCGGACCCCAGATTCTACTGCCGGTTCACTGTGTGGTTTCCACTGAATTCACAGCTTAGAGGTGAGGAGTGTCCATTACAGAGCATGCTGGTGGTGTCCATCAGGTTGACAGGGTGTGCACACACATGTGCATATATAAATGCACACATACACATATGAATGCATGTGTGCAAGTGGCTGTGTGAGAATGTGCATGCACACATGTACATGCATGAGTACATGTGTGCATGTGTGAGTGTGTGTGTGGCGGGGATGACATGGTGGCTGTTACCGATCTTCACAAGTAAAGGCATTAGAATGTATGGTGTCCTGGACCGCAATGCACTGCTGTGATGGAGGGGCCCTGGGGGCACTCTTTCATAAAGGCGGTACCCAACTTGTAGTTTACCAGTATCTGCATGTCAGGGTGCTTGAAAACTTCCAGCTTCAAAAGCTAAGCTAACAGTGCTCAATTCTGGGTCAGGACAAACCTCTGTGATGGATAATTAACCAGTTATATGACAAGACAGGAAGTTCCAACAGCTTCCACATGGAAAAGCCAACTGTTGTGTTAGAACAGCTGGTGGGGCACAAATCTTTCCCTCTACTCCTGCAAGCCTGCAGGTCAAGCCTCCCTGCCCCGTGGGGTCCTTGCAGGAAATTCAGAAAGAAAGGGGGCAGGGAAGGCCTGTCCCAGAAAGGCAGAGGGTGGCGGACTGTGGAGGGGCAGGGCCACACACCACAGGGCTTAGCCCTCACTCAAGTTTTGTACTTTCTGGATCTGAGGAAGCCTGCATCACACAAGAGAAAGCCTAAGGGAAACTGAGAAAGCAACTGGGAAGAAACAAAAATTGTTACAGGGAAAAGAAAACTTAACAAAAACAGATTTGGAGATTGAAAATCTGACATCGCTAAAATAAGAATAGGATGCCATAAAAAAGGAATCATTGACAACAAGAGAGAGCTCTTGGGAATTAAAAATAAGAATGCAAAACAACAGACATAGAAGAAGGGCTGGAGAAGCGAGTGGAATCTTCCATGACGTAGGGGAAGGCAGCGCTGGAAACAGGGAAGGGATGACGGGAAAGAGAGGCCCCCTCCAGAGGCACCAGGAGGAACGGAGGACAAGGGAAAGCAGGCCAAGAAGTGAGGGGAGACTTCCCACACCTGCAAACAGATCGCCGTGTCGCCTGTAGGCATATAGGTTGATGCCATTTCAGAAAACTAGCAGCAAAGAGAGGATCCTACAGGGTTCCAGAGAGAAAAACAAAACCAAAGAGAAACACAGAACCGAATCCCGTGCACAGGGTCCGGGATCAGCAGGCTCTGCCTTTGACTGCATCACTGGGGCAGGAAGCCAGTGGCACAGCGGCCGCCGTTCTGAAGGAGCACAGCTTCCCGCTGCCACTCTGGTCCCACACAGCACGTCAAGCAAGTGTGAGAACTGAATGAAGACTCTCCCAGGCATCCAAATGCTCAAAGTTACCTCCCACATACTCTTTCTTTCCTAGGAAGCTGCTGAAAGAGGTGCCCCTGAAAAGGGACAGTAAAGCAAGAAAGAAGAAGGTGACGGGATCCAGGAACCTGGAGACCCCAGTTCAGAAGAGAGGGGAAGAGATCCCCAGGTGGAGCCCGTCCCAGTGCATGAGGGAGCTGGAGCCAGGGGAGGTGTCCTCAGGGAGATGCCCAATCAGATGATGGGAGAAGGGCCTGGGGTGGCATCAGTGCCGAGGTCGCAGATACCGGGCGGATGAAAACTCAGGACGATTGTCGATGGCAGGCCAACTAGGAACATGTGCAGGGGCGGAGAGCACGGCCGCAATCCACCGCAAGGCTTCCCGGGCTCGCACTCCCAGGGTCGGGGTAAACTGTCAGTCTTTGTCCGGTGGGAACCCTGCACTTGTGTTGGAAGCTGGGCTTGAGGAGGTGTGTGCATGGGGGGCCCAAGTCCTCCTCCCCACCAGGGCAGACGCTAGCCCCACTGTGGCCAAGCCCGGACAGGTGGGAAGGAGTAGTGACGTGCTACTGGGAGACAGGGAGACAAAGGTGGCAACCGGCTACAACAGGAGAAGGCTGCCTCCTCAGGTGTGCAATGTTAACTGCGGGTGTTAACTACTGTTTTCCAAGGCACACCCCGTAACCTATAGGACACTTGAAGTCATGTGTGTGTTTAAGTGAATAAAACGAAAGAACGCTGGTATGGAGCAGAAACCACGTGACAGTTCTCTGAGGCCCAAGTTGGGGGTGAGGTCATCACTGAGCTTGTTTGTGATTTACTGAGTGATGAAGACTCACAGCGTCTCTGAGTTTGTGTCATTCCCTCTTCTTTGGGTGTGACAGGCTTCCCAGTGGGAGGCAAAGGTATGGAGTGCCACATTGGACCCCCTTCTTGTGGGGGCCAGGGAGGGCACTACTGTCCTCCCCTCTTGTCTTCACACACCTGCGTCTGAAGTGTGGAAGCCCTCGTGGTCAACCACCACCAAGAAATGTCCCCATACAGTGTCCCTAAGAGTGTGTGAAGTACAGTAGTGACAGCACCAGGAGAGAGGTGGCTGGAATGTGCCCTGCGAGGCCACTGGCCCGTCCTCAGTAACACACACATGACTCCAAGTCCAGCAGCTTGCTAGTTCTAAACTGCTGGCCCTGCACACCACTGCTGCATATGGGACCGTCACTAGTTGTAGGTGACTGCTTGCTCTTAAATCCGAGGTGTGTGAAGTCTCTCACATCCACAGCCCTGTTCTGTGGCTGTCCCCGAGGCAGAGCCCAGGGAGGGTGAGAGGTTCCCACAACTGATGTATGATGCAGAGAGAAGCCGCAGCTTCCAAGCACCCCAGAGTGCCCACAGGGGCACCAGGCAGAGCACAGAGCAGGAGCTCAGCAGGGGGTGGGACCACAGGGTGTGACTGCAAGTCGCAGGTCCTCTCTCTGGTTGCTCACGGCACAGCCTGTGTGGTCGATGCACCGGAAGCGGGCTACTGCATTGGGAGGTCAGGCAGAGGCAGCCACAGTCTTCTGGAGACACACACACCAGTCATAGCTCTTCAAAAGAGCAGCAGCCCTGGCATGATGAATGAGGTGTATTAGCAAGGCCCTGGACTACATGTGTGTGTGGCACTGCCTGTGCCCAGGGGCGGGGGGAGGCCAGCCCCAGGGGACCGGAGCAGGAGGCAGGCACTGAGGGAGAACGTGGGACCACGGCTCCGTATGGCAATGGTGAGGTTTGCTGGATTTGCCAGTGTATTTTCTAATAGTCTTTCTGGTGAGGGCAGGGAAGTTACAATATTTTCTCATATCAGTAAATTTTAATTTATATGGATCTTGTCTCTCAAGAATATACAGAAAAATTGGGGTCACTATAAATACTGTAAACTGACCTGAGTTTCCGTTTTCAGAGCAGGCAAGAGTTTCCGTCTGAGGCCACGAGGGGGCCGAGCGTCACCCAACCTGTCAGGACCCTTCCTGGCCTGGGAGCAGCCAGGATGGTGCTCTGCTGGTTGGAAGGTCCTGGGGAGGTACCTGCCCTCATCCCTTCATGAAAAAGCCTTCCTAGAGCAGACGCCAAAATCAAGAGCAAGGTCCTTGTGGTAAACAAACACCATGCGAAACCACAGGATTAACTTCACGTGCGGAGAAGCCGGCGGAAGGCCCAGGATGACACCAGAGTGAACGACCTTCTGAGAAGGCGCCAGGCAGAGGGGCTTCAGCACCAGCACCCTCAACTCAGCCACTAACAGCACCCCCACCAAAGACCCACCCCTACCACTTTCAAGGGACCACAAGACCCTCCCTTGGAGACTGAGTGAGAGGGATGACCACGGCGGTGACCTAGACCTCCCCAACACCCACTTGGAGACACTGGGGCCTGCTGAGCAGTTCGATCCTCTGAACTCTGGACAAGAGTAACTACCCACAATGCCCTGGTGGTCCATCACACTAGAGCCCTCCCTGCACTTCACTCGCAGATGTCGCAGGTGCATCGTGACAGATCCACAGAAACTGGTCACAGAGGAGGGCCCGGGGGAACAATGAGTTTTCCCGTTTATTCCTCTGTACAAATTGGAGTTTTACTGTGTGCAGGGGCCACTGAGAATAAAGGAGATGAGAACACTGCACGTTCACACACACACACACACACACACACACACACACACACACACACGAGTGCCTAGAGTGTGGCCGGAGAGGGTGGGCCTTGTGGTCAGCCGGGCGGGGTGTCAGCGCACCGCAGGGCGGGCTGGCCCACGAAGGGGAATGCAGCAGCTTTAGGACCAGTTACGAGTTGCTATCATCCCTCCAGCTGATCCAGGGGCTTTCTGGGTGGCCAGCTGGCCCTGTGGTTTTCCTGTCACTGCCCTTGGGCTGAGTGGTTGGTTATTGATCACACCCGGTTCTCAGCATGGTTTTCCTCCCCAAAGAGGTTTCAGTTTTTCACCTGCAGCTATTTTTAGGGGCCTGGGCTCCACAGAGATGCCTCCTTCAAATGATCCTGTGGCCAGGCCTGGGTGGGGCCCATGGCCGCCCACACAGAGCCCGGTGAGGCCCTACTGTGGGCACTGCACGGGGACACCAGACCAGGAACCTGCTCAGGTCAGGGGCTGTCTGTTTTCTGGCAAAGGGGGTGAATTCTGGGGCTGGAATTCTGAAACCCTGCTGGGAGCACAGATCTCTGAGTGCAGCCCTGCCTCCTTTTCAGATGCAAATCACCCTGGGTCAGTGCATCCTAGTCCTTGGGTGCCTCAGTAGCTCCCTGGGTTCGGTGAGGCTGGATTGGGAGTCAAGGCTGTGACTAGGGTGGTCAGACAGCAAAACCAAATTCCACTGACTTCATAGTTAGGTCCAGGGCCAGTCAAGTACAGTCCACTCATTCCCCAGGGGACACCCTGGAGCATGTACCCCAGGGTCATGCCTGACACTCTAGACAACCCGAGGGTGTGGCACCAGGGCAGAGGGACACCTTGCAAGCTGCAGGGGATGTGGGAGGGTACAAGAGACCTACCTCAAAGCAGATGGCCCCGTTCCCATCAGCATCGAAGGCATTGAAGAGGAAGTGCGCATAGGTGGTGGCATCTGGGGGAGCAAGGGCACCGGTTGGGGTGTCTTGGGGCCTCCTGGCAGTCAAGTCCCCACCCCAGGCAGCCATACTGGGGGAACACCTGTGTCCTGAGCTGGGGTCCCCCTTCCAATGGGATGGAGGCAGCACCAGGTCTTGAGAAAAGTGGTGGGGGGAGCACAGAGGTGGAGGTGAGGGCCCCCTCCCCATAAAGGGACACCCGCCCTCTGCAGAACTGCCATAGGAACAAAGCAGGGGCTTCAGGAGGAGTGGGGAGCAGGGCACGGGGGCTGGCCTCGGACTCACCTCCCTGAGGGAAGAACTGTGCGTAAATGAGTTTGAAGGTGTCTTCATCCACCAGGCCCGAGGGACACTCCTGCAGCAGGAAGCCACCCCCTCAGCAGCCTTAGCCACCTCAGCCTCACGCCCCAGCCCCGCGCTCTGAGGGATGCCTGCTGTCCAGGCACTGCTGGGCTCCACTGAGGAAAGCCTGGTAGCTGGGTAGAGTGATGCAGGAGGGGGAGGCGGGGGCCCTCAGGCCAATCCGGCCCCTCCTCGCACCCCTCCCCTGTGCCAGCACACAGGCACACAGAGGAGCACAGTGCCTTCAGAACTCTGATTCTGGGGCTTGGCCCACACACTCCCAGACAGGCCTCCCACAGAATACAAGCCTCATCAAGGCCCCGGGATATTCGCTATGCCATGAAAGTTTCTAGAAGGTCTGCCTGGGCCAGAATCCCCCTTTCTGGAGCCAGGGGCAAAGGGCTGGGTGTGTCAGGGGCTATCCTGAGGGATGGGTGTCACTCACGTTCTTGAAGCCCCTGTAGAGGGACTGCAGCTCCTTCTTGGTGAACTTGGTCTGTGCCTGCAGCTGCTCCAGCCCCTCTGGCTGGTGGCGCACCATGGACAGCTCCAGCTCACTGTCGCTGCTATCTGGAGGGGGGCACAGACCCAGGAGAGTGAAACACGCAGCCCCCCTTCTCCATCTGGCCACAGGGCAGGTGCCAGGCCGTGGGCTGATGTCAGAGGCAGAGAGACTCTCCTTGCATGACTGATGTGCACGGCCACACAGGCTGCACACTGCACAAATGGAGGGGCTCTCCTGGAGCAGCATGCTCAGGCCACCCTGCCTCCCTTCTCCTCATACAGTGAGCCCTCCCCTTTCATCTCACCTGGAGCATGCCCACCCTGTCAGCCATACAGTGGGACAGAGGCTGGGAGCTGGCCTTGTCCTTGAGAAACACTGAACAAGGAGAGGTGGAACGGATAAAGACAGCAAGACAGGCTCAAGGGACACTCAACCTTCAAGACCCAATTCATGGCCATCTCTTCCATGCAGTCCTCCCTGACTTCTGCCAGGAAAGGGGAGGTGACCCCTCTTGGCCCATTCAGCCTAACACACTGCTGCTTGGCTGCATTTGGTGGGGGGTGTTACTGACATTTGGACAGGAGGTCAGACCACAAGGGCCCACTGGGCAGGGGCCAGCCCTTTTCTTTAAAAACAAGACATCCAAATGTTAACTACAGCTTTCTCTGGGGTGGAGGGAGTTGCATTTCAGGTGATCTTTACTTTTTAATTTATCCTTTTTTTATCTTTTCCTAATTTTTGTTTTTGGCGAGGCATGGATCACTTTATAATACAAAGTAGAGCTATATGCAGAGAAGCACTGAGTACCTAACCTGTAGAGCAGCCCAGTCACACAGTTATAGACCTTCCCACCACACTGTCACCACCCCCACTTCCCCAGGCACCCCACAAAACACTGAGCCCATGGTGACCTGTAGCCCCTTCACACTGCTCACCCTGTGCCTGTGGAGCCCAGGATAGTGCTGGGCATGGAGCACTGCTAACCTGAGCCTGTGGAACCCTTTGCTGGGCCTGCTCTATGCCCGGCCTCTCCCAGAAGCACTGCTCACTCTCACTAACCCAAGAGCAGCCTGAAAACTGCCCAGCAAGTGGGCTCTACTGCCTTGGTCATCCACACTCCCAATTGCCCAGGTAGCTACTTCATGGCTTCCTCTCTTTAAACTACCAGTACCTCACTCCCCGTCTTGTACCTCAGGTTGTTTCCTACATCACCAAGAATATAGAAGCCACAGAAAACTTCCCCAAGTTCCTGCCACCACACCTACCCATCTACTGCATCTATTCCCGGCCTCTTCTTTTCCTCCTTCTCTGAAGATGAACTGTTCCCACTCCTGGCTAACTCTTCTGCTTGCACAATGGGTACTGTCCCTCTCACCTACTCAAGCATGAGGATCCAGAAATTCTCCCCACTCTTTCCTCTCTCCTCTCCATCTTTCTTTCCTCCCTTTAGGATTATCTCATCACCATATGGGCAACTGGCAATCTTTAGTCAGTTTAGTATAGGCAAACCTTGCAAGCCAGCAATTCCACTCTGGATTCTAACATCCCAAATAAAATCTTACCCAACTCGGGGGACCTGTAGACGGATGCTCATGGCAACAGTATTTTTATGGGGATCTGAGGGCATCCCAGGGGCCCATCAGAGGCAGGATGGAGAAGCACAACGTGGAGAATGCGCACCAGGGAGAACTGTGCAGTGAGTTAGAGGCACACATCAATACAGAGATCCAAGCAACTCAGTGAACTCCAGAAAGAAAAATAAAAACACAAACACATGCGGAACAGCATGGTCACACTGACGAAAACCAAAGATAAAAAGGCAGTTTTAGAAGAGCTAGTGGGAAGAGGAGACACTACAAGAGAAGAGCAGTGAGAAAAACAGCTAATTTCTCACAATAAATTATGCAGACCAAGAGACAATGCAACAACACTTCAAACTGGTGAAGGAAAAAACCCTGTTAACCTAGAATTTTATATCCAATGTTAATATCCTTCAAAAAAAAAGAGGGTGAAATGAAGGCACTTTCAGGTAAATGAGTGCTAGAGAATTTGTTGCCAGCAGAATCATCCTACAAGAAGTGCTAAAGGAAGTACTTCAGGGCGAAGAGAAATGATATTTAGCAAATAAAAAATCAAGGTCAGAAGGAAAAGAAGAATTTTGAATTGAATGCATTTGAAAAGATAACATCAAAATTTGTGGGATGCAGATAAATTACTCAGAGAGATATTTAAAGCAATTGATGCCTATTTTAGAAAAAAGATTTTAAATAAGCTTCTGCTTCAAGAAAATAGAAATAAAGGAGGAAAATAAATCCAAGGCAAGCAGAAGGAAGGAAATAGGAAGTGGTAAGAGCAGAAACAATGAAATTGAAAATGAAAAATATAGGAAACATTAGTAAAATCAAAAGATGGTCGTTTGAAAACATCAATAAAATTGATAAAATGCTAGCAAGAATGCAAAAGACAAGAAGAAAGAGAAGGCACAAATGACCAATGTCAGGAATAAACAGGGGAAATAAGCATAGACTCTCCAGACATTAAAAAGATAAACAAGGAACTACCAGGAACAAGTCTCTGCACACAAATTCAATAATTGATAAAATAGACCAATTCCTCAAAACCACAAACTACACAAATTCACCCAAGATGAAGGAGATAACCTGAACAGTCCTAATGAATACTGAACACAAAGGCAAAAATTCTCAACAAAACATTCACAAGCCAAATCCACTGATGTCTAAGAAGAAGAGCATACCACAAATGGAGTTTTCCAGGAATGCAAGGTCGATTCAATATTTGAGAATAAATGAACATCATCCCTCATATCAGCAATCTAAAGAAAAACACATGATTATACCAATGATGAAAAAAAGGATTTGAAAAAATTCAAAGGATTTGACAAATTTATAATAAATTAAGCTCAGTAAATGAGGAATGTAAGGGAACTTCCTCAGCTTGATAAAAGACACGTACAGAAAACCCACAGTTAACATCATATTTAATAGTTAAAGACTGAATATCTTCCCCCTAAGATTAAGAACAGGCAAGAATATCTGTTCTCCCTTCTCCTATTAACATCATTTTAAAAGTTGTAGCCAATGCATAAAGGGCTTCAAAGGGAAGGGAGGAAGAAAGAAAAAAGAATGGGAGAGAGCAAGGAAAAGCATACCGACCAGATTGGAAAGAAAAAAAGCTATCCTTATTTGCAGATGACATGATTACCTATGTAGATAATCCCAAAGAAGATACAAAAAAAAATCCTCTAAAGTAAGTTTAGCAAGATCACAGGATACAAAATTAACAAAATCACTCACATTTTTATAGACCAACAATATACGATTGGGAAAAATGTAAAAATAATAGCATTTACAATTGCTTGCCCCACAGATGAAATACTGAGGCACAAATCTAACAAAACATGCATAGAATCTGAATGTTGAACGCTATGAAATGTTGATGACAGCAACCATGGGAGACTGAAATAAGTGAAGAGACATACCATCTTCATACACCGAGAGACCCAACGTCATAATGATGTCAATTATCTCCAAAGTTATCTACAGATTTAACAAACTTCCAATAAAAATCCCAGGAAGATTTTTTGTAGACATAGACACAATAATTCTAAAATTTACATGGAACTACAAAGGAAACAACAGCTAAAACAGCTTTGAAAAATAATCAAGTGGGGTAAATCAGTCTATTTGATTTTAAGACTTATTACCATATTTTGCTGTGTATAATGCACATTTTTGCCCTGTATAATTGCCCAAATTTTTGAGGGAAAACTAAGGATATACAGTATACTCGGATAGTACTAATTCCACATCTATATAAATGTCTTTAGTTCTTTTATTTATATTTATGTATTACAAGTGTAACTCTAGAAAGCGATAATGATATCCATCTGTAAAATAATACCTTACAATAGGATAATTGGTTTTGTTTCTAAGTATAAATAAGTAAAAATTGAATTAAAAAATTAAAACAAAAGACTTTTTTCCTGAAAGTTTGGGCCAAAAATGTGGATGCACATTATACGTGGCAAAACATGGCACACAGTGACAATAACCGAGTCTGGTGTTGGAGAGAGAAACACACGCAGATGGATGCGACGGAACAGATCGCCCAGGAATCGATCCACACGGATGTCACCAGCTGATTTTTGACAAATGTGCAAAAGCAATTCAGTGGAGAAAGGATAGTTTTTTCAACAGATGGTGCTGGAAAATTGGACATCCATTACAAGAAAAATGAACTTTGACTAAAGGAAGCACAGATTTAAATGTAAGACATACAACTATAAAATTTCTGGAAAAACGTAGAAGAAAATCTGCATGGCCTGGGTTTAGGCAGAGTTCTTACACAAGGCATCAGCAGCACAATCATCAAAGGAAAAAAATGATAAATTGTACTTTTTAATGAAAAAGTAAAACTTTTGCTCTGTAAGAGATCTGTTGAATAAAAGGTAAAGTAGCGACAGGCTGGGAGAAAATATTTGCAAATCACATCTCTGACGAAGGATATCTGGAATTTGTAATCAACTCTCTGAACTCGGCAGCGAGAAAACAAACAACCCATGTTAACAAATGGGCAAAGGACTTGATCAAATACCTCACCCAAGAGGATATACAGATGGCAAATGAGTACATAAAAAGGTGTTTAACACCATTTACGATGAGGGAAATCCAAATAAAAACCAAATGGAATACGATCGCACACCTGTTAGAATCACTTAGCTCTCAGTAACAAATGTTGGCGACTTCAAGCACGTTAAGGATGCAGAGTAACCGAGTATTTGCTGGCAGGAAGGAAATGGTGCTGACACTCTGGAAATCAGTGCGGCATTTTCTTACAAACACACACTTACCGTCTGGTCCAGAATCCCACTCCTGGTTATTTACCGAAATGAAATGGAACCAATTATACTAACACAAAAACTTATGCAAACATTTAGAGCAACTTAATTCACAATTGCCAAAAGCTGGAGATAGCCGAAACGTCGTTTGACCGGTGAATGAATGGATGACCAAACCGTGCCACAACCGCACAGTGGACTACTAAC